CCCCCCCACTTACTATTTGTAAGTGGAAAATATTTTCTGCAGTTACCAGTGAAGTAACTGATAGTTCAGCTTTCTTAGTTCATTCACTTTTCCTCGTATTTTTTTTCCCCTTCCCAATTAGGTGATTTGAGTGAAGATCCAAAATTTCCCAAAGTTCAGTGGCCAACTCCAGACCTTTGTCCTGCATGTCATGAAGAAATTAAAGGATTACACAGCTGGAATGAAGACCAAGTTCTGCAGTTCATGAAGTATCACTATAACAGTGAAAATATTTTATATAAATACTCTGAAGGCCAGACTGACTCCAGTGAAGCTGAACACGGAGATACAAGGGAGATGAAAGACAAAAGCCTACCGAAGAAGCCAAGTGGAAACAGAGAAAATAAGATCCTGGACCAAGAAAACATACTAGATTCACAGTCTAAGGTGGTAGATAAACTAATAGCAAATCAGGCACCTGTCAAAGACAGAGGTAAAAGTGCAGTTGAATCAGCTGATGATAAAGAGACCAAGCAGTCTGTATCTTTCTTAGGGATTGGATTTTCAAACATAGACATGAGTCTGTGTGTTGTACTCTATGTAGCATCATCCTTATTTTTAATGATAATGTACTTTTTTTTCAGAATGAGATCGAAACGGTGGAAAGTGAAGTATTATCGTTCATCTGTATAGAACTTTAAATCAGAAACAAAGTTTTCATTGTAAGTGGCTGTTCAGTTCCAGATGCAGCTTTAATATTTATGATCAGGGATTTTATATACAGTATTCCTTATTTCACAACTTTCTTCCCAATTTATTTCACAAATGTTCTAGCTTAATATACAGCTTGCTGTAAGAACCCTAACATTTGACTGTCACAGGCATATAGTGCTATCATAAAATGTCTACTGAAGGAAGCATTGCATTTCCCAGTTAAGATTTTTCCATGACTTACCACCTACATCCTTTACTCGTTTGCGAAGTAAACAGTGCATTATACAATTAACTATACCTGGTTTTGGAAAGAAATTGGATATTGTTTTGCGTACTTGAAGTAATTTTTTTTTGTATTTATCCAGAGCTGGTTTTACCTGCAGGATTCCTGAATAGTTAAACTGTTACCTTAGCATCACCATTTGGAGAAGCAAGAGTTTTGATTTTGTTTTGTTTTTTAAGTTCTATTTTGATTAAATCAATTCTAAACCTCTGACTTCCTCAAATATTGTTCCCATTACATATTTGAAGTAGAAAGTATTAAGTGTTCAAATAAGTCTTACGTTCTCTTACGTGTTCCAGGTGAGGATGTATATGCCTCTGCTAGGATGAGAGGTCTGGGGCAGTTAGTATGTCTATAAGCAGCCTGATTCTGATTTTGCTGATTCTACCATTCATTTTAATAGAGTTTATTTGTAAGCAAGAACAGAATCAGACCCCAGTGTTTTTCCTGCTCTGCTATTGGATGTGTTAATGGAGCATTAGATAACTCACCTTGATATGCTAATTTATGATTCAGAAAAGTAGTTAGGTAATTATTATTATGCCGTTCAGGGGGAAGCCAATTCTGATGAACTCCTGTAAAAGGAAACACAATTTTTAATGAAGGAAAATGAGACTCATGTGGCATCAGCATACTAGAACAAATTTACAGGTCTGGATGTATTAAGTTTCTTGTGGCATTGTGTATGAAATCTTTTTTTCCCTCTGGTGAGGCAGTGTAGGAACTTTATACTGGTATTGCCAGTTCGGAACTCACAGGGAACATCACCTGCTAACTGCAAAGTTTCCTGTAGAGAACTTAAAGAAGACGTTTGTCCTTCTTCTGGAGTGTTGCACTGTTTGGGTCAGAAAGGGTTTACCTGCAGTAAAAGTCCAAGAGCTCCTCCATTCTGGGATGTGGCAGCAATGGGGAATGTGGCAGCTGCATTTGCATATCCATCAGTCTATCCAGAATCCTGACTGACAGCGGTCAGAAGAAAACATGAAAACATTTATAAAATTACCGTTCATAATAGGAATTCCCTTTTGATCCTAGCTGTGGGGGATAATTCACGTCCTGGATAGTGAAGTTTATAATCCTATCCATTGTAATTGAGCATGTTCTAGTTATCCATTACCTAATCTTTAGTTAATCCTAATAGGTTTTGGCCTCAATGTTTTCTTGTGGCGGTGAGTTCTACAGATTAATGATGTTATGTAAAAAGGCTTTTCCTTTCAATTTTACATTTGTAACTCTTAATTTAAGTGAATGTTCCCTAGCTCTTCTGTTATGTGAGAAGGAGTAAATAGTCCCTGGCCAATTCATTCTTGTATTTATACTGTTAATGTGTCTTCTCTTATTTCCATCATAAACCCTCGTATGAAAAGTTTAAAGCCCTGCAACAGGAATGGGCTACCATTTAGCACAAAAACTCAACAAGGATGTTTTTTCATAATTGGATCTTGCTCATTGAGAAAGTTGAGTCAAAAATGTCCAGTTTTGTGTCATTTCCACCTGGAATAACAAAACTGAGCCAATGGTTATTGTCTGTTGTTTCTTTAAGTGTCAAAATAGCTTACAAAAGCACATAAGTAGGCCTTGTAGTTATTATAAATACTCATCAGTGGAAAAGCCTCCATTTGCATGACACTGATAGTATGACATAGGTAAAGCCCGTTATTTCTGGTTCTCTTAAGCTCACTTTACAGTTTATTCTATGGACTCAATGGCCCTTGCTCCAGAGTGAGAAATTTTACTCCACCTTCTATCCCTAAAGCAAGAGGCCAGCAACTTCCTACCGCTGCCCGCCTCTTCGACACAGGAAGTCCGCTTATACTTAGGGCCTAATGTGAAAACTCTACGTGCGCTTGATGTTGTCATCGTAACAGCAAGTCAGTCTGTGTTTTTTCATGACCCTCATTGTTTAAGAGGTAGGACACAACAAACCATCATTTCTTTTAGGAATTTATCACAATCCCTGTAATCGTCTTTGTAGGATCTGGGCTTGAATATTAAAACTACTTGTAGGCAACTATAGATAGATAGTGAAACAACATTGGTAGTTAGTCCTGACTGGCTCTTTAGTGCCCCTGTGTTTTGTACTAGAATCCACAGAGAGATCCCAGGGATAGGTTAGTTAAGAAGAGAGCCCAGAGATTTCAAATTTAATGACCTAACTGGGGGGAATGGGCTTTGTTAACAGCCAAAAATCAAAGAGGTTTAGTGTCCCTAAAATAAATAAATGTTGGGCAGCATAGCAGGTATTGAATCTGGAAAATTTGGCTAGCTTTTGTAGGACTGAATCATTAACATTGCACATTTTAAAGTTGCAAATATGTAATTAGTGCTGTGGTTTTGAACTTTGCTGAAGAGCAAGACCTGAATTTAACTCTCATTCAACTTATTTTCATCTGCATATTAAAACAAAAGGCGTTGCAGGTTTGTAGGAATTATTTGACATGGAAACAGCAGCTTGTGTGCTTGGGAATATGTTATTCTTTTGCTACATACTGTTAACTTCATATTGCCTTGACCCTGTTTGAAATGTGGCAAAATAAACAGATACTCAGAGTTACAGTGTTCTTTTTTGTTTCATGAGAGTATTAAAAGCATGAAAGTAGAATGTTGATTATCTGTGCTGGTGCTATAACTTCAGTGTTGCCAGCTAACTGGCACAAGGCTTTCACTTTAATTGCTAGTAGTGACCTCATCCGGAAAAGTTTCCTTGTCTTTGAGTTCAGTTGTGTAAATCTTAGTTTATTTTTTATTATTTTGTATCTTTATAATGACAAGTTATATCCTTTTACATATTCTGACAGTAAGGATGTATTAAGTCCACCATGGAACGGGCGATACTGCTTTGCCATGGTGCATTAAAGGTAGGTGAGTTACAAGAAAGTATTTCCTTTTTAAAAATGCCTCAAACCACTGTCTCTTCAGTCCCAGAACTTTTATTTGTGTATTGTATTATATTACAAAAGTTTTTATAAACATTTATAGGTCATACAAAAACTCCTGTGAGTCACTTTTCAAGAAGGATTTCTGGCTCTTTGTAGTTCATGGAGCTTTCTTTGCTATTCCGATGTTTTTAAAGAGGAAATACTAAACCTGCAGAGAAAATAGAGTACTGTGGAATATGCTAGGTCAGAGAATAGAAAAGCTGTAAGTGCTAAAGAAACCTAATGAAATTATTCCCTAGAACTGTAATTTTTAATTTCAAACAATGTATGCATCCTGCTATTCCTGCTCAGAACTGGATGTGCACTACCTTTTTAACAAAAGGTTCAAAATGTATTTTCTAGGTCTCTGTATTGCATATGAGGTGTTAAAAATGGTGAATATAACAGTTTGATAATTTAAATATTTATTTGTCATTCAATAATTTGACATTTTCATAGTTTTTTTTTTTTTAACTTAATCTCATACCTCTTTCTGGGAAGGAAAAGTGACTATTTTGTACTAAACTGTAAATTAATGTGCTTGTTAAAAATAAATTGCAAGCATTTGGACAAAATGGTGCATTTTGGTTTTTTATCTGTGTTTGAGATCTTTTTAGCTAAGCTATATGGCAAGGGTAGCCTGTATACAAATAAATTGCAAACCATGTAGGTAATTTTGTGCAGGAACTTAAAATAATTTTTAGGAGTACCAGGAACATGTAAACCTGTGCTCTATTTCTTTCTGTGTTCTCCTGTAACTTTATAAAAAACATATGTGTAAAGACATTGCTGAATGTCTGCAGGAGTGATGGGAAAAAAATCACTTTCTGCCCAGTTATTTGTCAGTATTTTATATCTATGTATTTATACATATCTGTAAAAATCTTTTTCCTTTTCCTTAAGTCTGAACATCTCTTCTTTGGCAATGGTGATGCTAACTGCCTCTAGACACTTGCAGATTTTTTTTTCCGGCTTCTACTGGCATCAGCAGTGCCTGCTGCTGATATGGTGGGCTAGGTGACTTGCTGAAAATATTGATTATCTACCTGCAGAAGTACTCACCTCAGGATGTTTTCAGAAATCAATAAATGTACGCAAGGTACTCTGAAGTTTGATACTGCCACCCACTTTAGAGAAATGTGCATTTCCTTGCTGTCTTGTGACCCGGACAGGAGAGCAGTGCCTGCTCTCTGCAGTTGTCCAGCATGTTCCCCTGGGAAACCTGGTCTAACCTTCATTGCCTACATGTCTTAAGGGCAAATGCAGGTATCTGCCCTGCTAGTTCATGGGGTAAAGGTACCCTGTCCTTACCACCCACAGGTTAACAGATATGCGGCCTCATTTTAACCAGGCGCTAAGAGAACTCACTGCATTATCTGATGAACCAGTTCACAAAGTGGTTGGGAAGATGGTTGTACTACACCGTCTTCCTGGAGGAGGGAAATAAGCACAAGCTCCTCTAAAGGAAGAATTTGTCCCTCACAGTACAGACCTTTGGGTCTGTCTGCAAAAAAAGCTGACAGAAGGGAACTGGGTGCAAATACATTTTAGGCTTCTGTTATTGACCTCAGGAAATTTTTTTAAGTTTTTTTTTTTTTTTTTTTTATGGTGGCAGAATCACAGCGAGGCAGGGCCAGGAGTGATGCTACAGGAAGGGAACTGCTGAGCTGCAGGGATGGAACACTTGGGGATGGGGGTGCCCAGGACCCTGGTGGCAGCCAGAGTGGGTGGGCTGGGGCTTGGAGCTGGGTCTGCAAGGGGCTGCGGGCCACATCGGAGAGGCACCAGGTGGGTACCAGGGAGCCAGCGGGGACTGAGAGCTAACGTGGAGCTGTCCGAGGCCCCAGGCCTGGAGGGGGGCAGGTGGCTGCGGGGAGCTGGCGCCTGCTAGCGCCGGTCCTGAGCAGGCATCAGCCGCCTGCCCAGTGCTGCGAAGCCT